AATTCATAATATACAATTAAAAACTAAAAAAAAACTAAAAATGATGCTGGTCTTGATCAAATTGGTTCACGAAGTCGTCTCCAGGGTCGTTGGATGCCGGCTGTGACTGAGATGGTGGAGGCTCTTGGGATGGAAGGGCTCCGCTTTCCCGTCTCTGACGCAACACTTCCGCCAGTTGCGGGTTTGTTAGCGCCACAACATCGAGGATACCCGTGAGCGTACGCACATGAGACTGCGTCGCCTGCAACTCCGTCTGCGTCGTCTGCAACTCCGTCCGTAGGTGCGCATTGTCATCGGCTTGTTGGTGAACATAAGCCGATGTCTCTGCGGGGACATCGTTAACCGAGCCAATCCCGATAACACGGCCCTTTTTCCTCGGAACGACCTGTAAATTAAAATATTAATAACCGAAGCAATAAAATTAAATAAATAATAAAAATTAATATATTAAAATTATTTACCTCCTCGTAAATTTTATCCACTTCAAGAGTGGATAATACGACCGGAGCCCCAGTCAGCTGAGTCAACTGGGTCTGGCGCTCGTCAACTCGGGCAGCAACCTCGTTGTAGATCCGCTCAGAAGCAGGATCTACAAACTGCCCACTCTTCCTCCGGTGGGTCCGCTCGTAAAGGTCTTTCAGAGACGGAAGAACTCCCGTCTCTTTAGCCTGCATTTTTTTTAAAATTAAATATTAATTTAGAATATTAGAATATTAAAATAAAGTAAAAATTTTATGGTTATAAAATAATACGTACCATGTCTAGACGAACTCCCCCGTGAGGCTTTCGGCCCGTGGTGTGAAGTGTCTTCGTGTTGCCATGCTGGTCCGTGGCCATGCGATTCCCGGAGTTTGTATTGGACGTTCGGATCGAATCCGGCAACGTCCAGTAGCTGATGAGGCCATCCCACACCGTGGTTGTGAGGCAATCGGGTTTCCCGCGCTCGTAATCATTCACCTGCAGATTTGAAATAATTAGAATAAAAGTCAATAAAATATATTTTTAAATAAAGGTATAATTAATATATATTATAATTTTTAAATTTATACCTGAAAGTCGCCCTTCCAGTTGTAGACCATGTCGCACAATCGGGCTTTTGCCTTGGTCTCGAACTCGGACTTCACCCGCTGGTGAATCCCAATAGACCAACGGTATTTTTTCTGCAACCAGAAAAAATAAAAGACGGATTAGTTCAATAAAATTCATAATTTTAAATGATTATAAATAAATTAAATTGATTTACTAAATTACTTACAGCGAACGATTTGAACCACGTCTTTTTGGTGTGGCTCGCCGTCAGCTTCCAGTTTGGAGCTGCATCGGGAAAGTATCCCTTGATACAGTCCGTGACGCTAGATC